TATGTTATTTTGAATAAATACCTAACCATTTTTCATGTGTTCGATTTCTATTATTTTCAATATATAAATCTTGTTATGCTCTGGTTTCATATTCTTTTCTTTATTCTTCCTCAACTCACTAGTATATTGAGCAATTGACTGAGAATGATGATGATAATGTTTTAAGGTTAGGATGTTTACACGGAGCAATGGATATACACATCATTGAGAGTGAGAGAATAATATCGAGAGTGAGTGTAGACACTAACACAGAGAGCAAATAATAACGAAAGTAACACCGAGATCGAGACCGAGACTAAGAGCAGACAGCTAGGCGAGAGCTAGAGCTTGAGCAAGAGCGAAGGCTAGAGCTTGAGCAAGAGTGAAGGCGAGAGCAAGGACAGGAGAGCAAATACTAGGACAGGAATCAAATACTAAGACAGAGAGTAAACCCAACCGAGAGCGAGAGCGAGATAAAATACAGAGAAATTTAGTATTATTATTATTATTTTACATTATTGAAGAATTCGAATTTTTACATTAGTGGAGAAATAGAATATATAAAAATATTTAAAATTTGTTGGAAACCTAGCACATCTAAGGCCACATTGCCTCTATTGCCCGCAAACGAGTCTTTAATGCTGTCACTCTATCTTCGAGTTCTTTTTTCTCCTCCTCCAACTTGTCAATTTATTCACGATCTCTGTTCTCCATCCTTTCGAAGAACATACATCTTTCTTCTTGCAGGCGTAACTAGTGTTGCGTTGAGTAAAGAATCTACCTACTCTTGCGATGCCTTTTTTCTCATCCTCCAACTCACCCCTTGTAGGATCTTCATATGGACTTTCCCCTCGTAATAACGTAGTAGGTAGTCTCATTCTATTGGTAACTTCGTTGGACGTTTTCTTTATATCTATCATGTACATAACAAAAGATAAGAGAAAACAAGACAAATAATAAAACTTGAATGCAAATGTATGTCATATATATAGAAGATAAAAGGAAGTAATATTCTTTAAAAAAAGAAAAAAAAGAGGAAATAATATTCATTGAATGTGGTTAGGTTAGTATGGATTTGGTCTAATGGTGCGAGCTTTTCGAGACATAATTAATTTGTTACAAGTTTATAGTAATGGGGAAGTGTGATAACTCTAAAAAAAAGAGTTATTTTAGTAAATAATTGGGTTAATTCATGCTTTAATGTGATGATCTTTATCTAAGAAGCATGCTAAAGTTAGAAATTGAGCGAAAAAGTTAATTATCATATGCTAAATCCTCATGTTGCTGAATTTATACAAGTTCTTGCTTATTCGGTTTAATTGTGTAGAATTTGGAGAAGTTGCTGAGAAGCAGCAGAACGCCAGAATTAGAGGAGAAATGCCGGAGCGTTGTTGTCATGTCAATGCTGGAGCATCGCTTGCTGCAGAAATTCCTAGGCAGCGCAGTAACACGCGGGATTTTTACTAATGTCCGTACAACGTACGTTTTACTGAGTTTTGCTCTAATTTTCGAATGAGCTATAAAAGTAACAAGATAATGGTTGTCTCACCATCATTCCCCTTGGGGAATGGATCCTAAGAGAGAAAATACTCCAAATATGGTGCTGAAGTTGAGGAGAGCATACCCATTTCGAGGAAGAGCTGACGACGACGAGTAGCTGCTGCTGGACCTTGTATGCTGGTGGTCTCCATCTGCGTTTTTTTCTCTTTCTCTAGAATGGGTTGTATCTTTTCTTTACCCATTTTTGTTTTCTCTTTCCCTCATGAACTAAACCTCATTTTGAGGGAGATTCATATGTTGTGTAACTATTGAACAACCAACACTCTAGTTGTTTTCTTCTTTCTATTTAATGGAGCTGTCCGTATTTTCCTTCATCTTACTAAACATTGTTGGCTACCTTGTTTAGTATGCTAGTTGTATGACTCGGAAGGGATTATCGTTAGTTGACTTACTATATTTGTGTTTATCTACTTTTTTCTAGTAGGTTCGTGGATACTTAGGAATGGGGTCCCCTAATCATGCTTAGAACTTGTTTTCATTGCTTGGGTATCTAGCAACGGGAGTTATGAGTATTCATGTTTGGGTATCTCAGAAGGGAACTACATCGAGTTGAGTAACAGTAGTCGATTTCATGCTATAGTAGAGGTTGAGATTTAGTGAAAGCATAAGGAATCTCCCTCATTTCCCTATATCTGTTAACCTCTTATTCGCATTTTGTGTTAAATTATTTCTTTATCCCAACATTTGTTATTACAGTATTTATCTCTTGGATTTTTTTCTGCATTTTAAAGTATTTTTCTTAGTTTAGTTATACAAATACTCATTATCCTTTATTTGCATTTTTTGGTATCCTTAAATGCATTCTTAGAGTAATATCCTTAGTCCTTGTAGATTCGACCCCGTTCGTACTACAATCAATGAGTATAATGTACACTTGCAGTTGTATCTATCATAGTTGTGAGGATGCAACAAAGTGCAAACGTCAAATCATGATACCGAGAGCGAAAAAACTAGAGTTAGGAGCCTGAGCCAAAGGTGTATATTATACGAAAATTTATTTCAATAAAAATTTAACCAACAATTCATAAAAGATGAGGACTATATAAAATTATATTTATGCAAAGAAAGAAACAGGGACTGATATCGAAGGCATCTACATTTCCAATGCTTTCAAATGTGCCTCCAATTCGACAACTCAATGTACAAGTTGTCTTTTCTATATCTTTCGTCGTCGTCCAGTGTTGCACTCGTCCTTAGCCATTCTTTCAATTAAGGAACAGGTTTCCTCTGTCTCTTTTAATAAGAATCTTGCGTTGTTGAGTTCATGTTTGATGGTATGAAGTTTTCTCTTCAGTTGCCGAATTTCCTTCTCCGCTTCTCTTAAACTAAGCACCGTAGAATCCTCATGAGAATTTTCTCCCACTAAAGAAGATGGTATCATTAATGGACTTGTTGCCTCCTGAGAACACATTTCTTTGCTGCAGAAATGTATTTCTTATAGATGACAATATAACGTAAAGGTTAGAATGATTTCACAACTTTGTTTCAAAGTATTATTATATATAGGAGTAGGAAGATAGATGGTTCTAAAGGAACATTAAATGTAAGTTTAAAGATATAAATAACGAAATAAACATGACCATAGATCAAGGTGAAAGCACACTGCACATGAGATACATTGCAGCATTCCAAAAAAGGATAACTTTTACTTAATACCACTATGCACCCATGGCAGTGAGCTTCCAAAGATGTTACCAGATCATTGAGCTTCCTTTGCCAATCTTCCAGTTTGTTCGTCCAAGCGATCACTTCGTTCAACAACATCTCTATGTAGTTATACGTTCCCTCTAACACGAGAAGTTGATCCCTAGATTTTGCTAGTTCCCAAATCATACCATCCAGCTTGCTTTTTATGCACGAAAATTGTATTACGATTGGATCTTCGAAATTCCAACACCAAATGATGACACTAAATTTGTTTTTTGACTGTTTGCCTTGTCCGACATTGTATGCTTACTATATGTATGATAAATGAGAAATAAGGGTAGAAAGAAAGACAAAGCTAAGAAATGATGATCGGAAGATCTAGAGGAACGCCGAATCCAAAAAATTTAAGCGGCAATGAAAAAATGGAAATCCCTCTTTTTTTGGGAAAATTTTAAAAGCACTTTCAATGTCGGTCAATAACCGACATTAAAATTCATCGAATAGTGTTGGTTTCAGACCATCATTGAAAGCTTTTTTCTCCTTCAAAATTGAAGAACGGGTTTCCTCTGTCCGTCATTGTTTCCTCCATGTTTTTATTTTTTATCGTCATTAAAAACCAGATTTGTTGTAGTGAATAAGAGTCAATGGCAACAGTTGTGGTGGTCACTTTTAGATTGCATTGATATATATATACACGAGGTCAAATGGCTTAGTACAAAGGTAGGTATGTGGTTTAATGGTGTTGGAGTGGGAAGATGGATGCAAAACTAGTTCAATAAATAATATTGCACTGTTCCCATTGAACCTGTCGACTGTCTTGTCTGGCCATAAAAGCGAGAGCGAGAGCGAGACAAATAGTAGTATTCCAAAACATATGTACGTCCAAAACCAACAATGAGATAGATTGCATTATTCTAAACATACATATAAGCAGAATCATAACAAATATATGGAATAATAATGATGATGAATACACTTAAAGACATGAATCTAGAAGTGGAAAAACAGGGTGACTGATACTTGGAATTAGGTCTTACTAAGTGGAACTTATGGCATTTGCAATATTATCCCTTGACCTGTCGCCACATGTCTGTGTTGATATTAGGTTACTGCATGTTTTTCTATTGTGGCCCATTTTCACACACTACTACACTTGTTTACACGAAGTCGCTCGTCAGCAGAATGAGATTGACTCCGTGTACGCCACAATAACCTATCGTCACATGTCCATGTGGTCGACCGGTAATATTGGTTCACGTATGCCACAATAACCGAATATACACTGTAGCGATTGTCAATTAAGGTGAGGGAATTAAGGTTCTTTAGCCTTGTTGCCGCTAAGCTATAACATGGAATGAAAATCTGGAACAAGTCAAACTTTATGCATG